AAGGAGCCTGTTAGAAAGTTCACTCAGGAAGAAATGATCAAACTAAAACTACAGTACTACAATGCAGATGTCCATAGGAGTGCCTTTGTTCTACCCCAGTTTGCCAGAAAGGTACAGTCCACTGAATCTGTACAACTGCAGTAAATTACATGTATGATTTTAAAGAAACTGCATCAATTTTATACTGAATAGCTGCAAGCCAAAAATATGTAACAGAATGCATTGTCTCTTTTTTCTTCCTTTTAGTAAATCTTACAAACATAATACATCTAACAAATCTGAGTTTCTATTTTGTAGGTTTTAAAAGGAGAAAGTATAGAAAATGGACCAAGTAACAACCAGTAACCACAACATTTATAAAAATAAAAATATAAATTTCATTTCTCATGTCATAAAATTATATATTTGTAGATCTCAGGTAGAAAATAAATCTCAGTGTACATAAATGATAATGGTAAATTCACAGTTTATGATGTCCAAGACACATCATTAGATCCTATCAGCAAACTGTGTAATATGCCCAAGTATTCATTGAAATTAAGTTTTCCTTATCAATACCATGATATTCCAAAGTTGTTGGTACAATGTCATTGGCACTTTATCATTTGAAATTCAAATACATATCTGAAGAAAACAGAAAATTCTCCTATTTTTCTTTTTACTGGACATTTTATAAAGTCTGTTAGAAGTTATGTTAAATATTGTTTTGTGTCAGGAATTACAGTCCTAATGGCTTGCATTTGTTTCCTGGTTTTCCAGCTAGAGATAAACACCCCCCCCCCCACCCCCATTCAAATAAAACCCATCAAAAGCAGTATGAATAGAAAAGTTTAAAGCCCATAAAATGAAGAATATAATGGAAGCTTGAAACTCTAAAAAATAATTGGTTACTGGAGAGGCCGGTCTGTTTGGTAATAATCGAATGTGAACATTAGGAAATAAGCCATTATTAGCTCTACTGGTCAGAGACCAGAAGAGCTTATGCGAAAGTAATGCGTCCGGCGTCCGTCCGTCTGTCTGTCTAGCTGTCTGTCTGTCCGTCTGTCTGTAAACAATTTTTCAAAACACTACTCCTCCTACAATTTTAGTCTGATTTCAATATTACTTGGCACACAAGTAGACTACACTAAGATACATAGAATAGTGCATCGGTTTTTGATTTCGATGAAGGGTGTTGCCATGGTTACTAAAAATAGAAATTTTTGTGAAATTCCTTTAAAACGCTACTCCTTCTACAGTTTTGGTCTGATTTCAATACAATCTAATTAAAATTAGATGTTAGATCCACTCGCATACTCTCTACTTGGTGTAGAGAGTATGCGAGCGGATCTAACATCTAATTTTAATTAGATTGATTTCAATATAACTTGGCACACAAGTAGACTACACTAAGATACACAGAATAGTGCATCAGTTTTTTAATTTCGATGAAGGGTGTTGCCATGGTTACTAAAAATAGAAATTTCTGTGAAATTCCTTTAAAAGGCTACTCCTTCTACAGTTTTGGTCTGATTTCAATATAACTTGGCACACAAGAAGACTACACTAAGATACATTGAATAGTGCATCAGTTTTTAATTTCGATGAAGGGTGTTGCCATGGTTACTAAAAATAGAATTTTCTGTGAAATTTTTTAAAACGCTACTCCTTTTACAGTATTGGTCTGATTTCAAAATAAGTTGGCACACAAGTAGACTACACAATGATTCATAAAATAGTGCAATGGTTTTTGATAAGTACAAACAAGTAGAGCTACAGTCTCGACAGAGACTTCTGGTTTTTAGCTCTACTGGTCAGAGACCAGAAGAGCTTATGCGATAGTAATGCGTCCGTCCATCTGTCTAGCTGTCTGTCTGTCTGTTCGTCTGTAAACAATTTTTCAAAATGCTACTCCTCCTACAGTTTTGGTCTAATTTCAATATAACTTGGCACACCAGTAGACTACACTAAGATACATAAATCTGTGTATCGGTTTTAGATTTCGATGAACGGTGTTGCCGTTCTTGCTAAAAATAGAAATTTCTGTGAAATTCTTTCAAAATGCTACTCCTCCTACAGTTTTGGTCTGATTTCAATATAACTTGGCACACAAGTAAGACTACACTAAGATACGTAATTCTGTATATTGGTTTTTGATTTCGATGAATGGTGTTGCCATGGTAATTAAAAATAGAAATTTCTGTTAAAAAATCTCAAAATGCTACTCCTCCTACAGTTTTGGTCTGATTTCAATATAACTTGGCACACAAGTAGACTACACTAAGATACATAATTTTGTTTATCGGTTTTTGATTTTGATAAATGGTGTTGCCGTTGTTACTGAAAATAGAAATTTCTGTGAAATTCTTTCAAAATGCTACTTCTCCTACAGTTTTGGTCTGATTTCAATATAACTTAGCACACAAGTAGACTACACTAAGATACATAATTCTGTGTATCGATTTTTGATTTCGAGGAACGGTGTTGCCGTTGTTGCTAAAAATAGAAATTTCTGTGAAATTCTTTCAAAATGCTACTCCTCCTACAGTTTTGGTCTGATTTCAATATAACTTGGCACACAAGTAGACTACACTAAAATGCGTAATTCTGTATATTGGTTTTTGATTTTGATGAACGGTGTTGCCATGGTAACTAAAAATAGAAATTTCTGTTAAAAAATCTCAAAATGCTACTCCTCCTGCAGTAAGTCTGATTATAATATATTGTTATACCCTTATAAATATCCTTCTATATATTTATTACTAATAAAAAGTCCAACAAAAGAAATGTTTATTACGTCGGTCTAACAATTTCACTATTGACCGGTCTTACATAAGAATTGTTAGACCGCAACGTCACTTGTCTGTTACGTCACAATTAATAATCATCGTTCAATATCGGCGACGCGAAAATAGCCGAAGTTAGGAGCTATTTTAAAAGAGTTGTTGCTAACAGCAAGGTAAGGTAGAAGGGAAGAGTATGTTTTGTGATAAATAATTTTTGTGATATAATAGATTTATAATTGATTTTGTTCTTTCTCAGCTTGATGTTTTATATTTACTGAAGAAGCCATAATTTTCCATATAAAATAATTGATAGTAAAGCGTGTATTGATAAAATTGATCAATCTTAAGTGAGCAGTGAAGGGTATAACAAAACAGTTATAGACTGGGATTCGGGCAACATATGATTTGTTGGACCTGAAGATGAAAATGTTGCCCTTGGCCTGCAGCCTCGGGCAACATTTTCACCTTCAGGTCCAACAAATCATATGTTGCCCTCATACCCAGTCAATAACTGTATAATGTGGCATGCAAGTAGACTATACTAAGAACATAAAGAGACTTAATCAAGGATCATTATTCTTTTTATTGCTGTGGTAAAGTTTCAATTCCCAACTTCTTAAGAACTTTTCTTTTCCTTTGCTATAAGTACAAACCTGTAGAGCTTCAGTCTCGACAGAGACTTCTGGTTATTTTAATTTTCTGGTTTAATAATTATTGATTTGTGAAATAATAACAAAGATTTACAACATGGAGTGTGTAAGATAATATGAACAAATATTTTGATATTCTCAGGATACAAAAATTACAATGTAAAAAAATAGTTTATTTATTTGTTGTTTAAGGTCCCTCTCGAGAATTTTTCACTTGGAGAGGCCACCACTTGCCGGTGGAGAGTTGCAAATCTTGTCCTATGCTCGGCACTCAGGGTCATTGAGCAGTGAGTGATCTTTTTCGTGCCAGCACCTACTGCTACACGGGACCTTGCTTTATACAATCTCGTCCGAAGGACTTATCCCCACGTCCTGCAGTGGATTCGAAACCGCGACGTAAAGATTAGCTTATTCCGCGACTCTTGACTGAGCAGACGCGCTATACCACTGCACCATGCGGGCTACTAGTAGAAATTGAACCGCTTTACCGGTTGAAGAATAAGCAAATATTTTTTTTTTGAATATGCTTACTGCTGCGAATGATCCAAAAATACTTCTTTCTTTAATAATTACTTTATTATGTTGTCCATTTCCGCCCCGTGAAACTGCAAAAATAATCACATCACATGTTCTAGGTTATCAGCACGTGGAAAGTCATCAAATATCAGGATTATGACCAATTCCTATCTTTTTTCACCGATTAATCAATTAGTTAAATTAACGCTCTAAAAGTACTAGTTATTTCCTATCTTGGAACTATTAATAAATTTGATTTTGATTGTTTTGTTGTTTAACGTCTTGGGAAATATTTCACTTACATATATCATAATGGAAACGCCACCATTTGCCGATGGAGGGCTGTAAATTTAAACCTTAAAGGCTTGACTCGGCACCGTTTTCCTGGCATGTAGCATACTAAAATATCAAATCGTTAAAAAGTCTGGAACTTGTCAGATATTTTGGACTAGGAGCCATCGAGCAACATGGATCTTTTTCGTGCGATTATCAACTGTGTCTCTGGGAAGGACCGGTTCCCACGGGCTACAGCGGGATTCGAACCCGCGACGAAAATCAACTCCTTACTTCGCCGCTTTTTCCCTCCACAGCCACGACTGTTTCCTTTCGAAGATGGCGATTGGTTTCAGCATTTTGAAAGGATCCAGCCCCCCTCTTATATTTCAAGCTTAATTTATTTAGTTAAAAAAAATTGTACCCGTACTGTCCCATGAAAATAATATGATTGATAACATTTTATAAGAACCCTCTCTACACTGCACACTAACATTAAAAACCGTAAAAACGGGATGGGGTGGTGTGGTATTGAACTTCTTTCAGTTCGGGGGGGGGGGCGTTTTCTACTGTTAAAAGCCCCCCCCCCCCCCGACGCGCCACGTGTCTGAATTTATTGGAAATCGTTTTGTTGAAGAATATGAAACTTATCTAGAATAAGTTGCCTGCATATTTTTCATATGCTTATAGACACAGGGATCTTGATACACATATTCGTTCCACACTTCTTCACGACTTACATGTATACAGATCTACTAATCACTAAGTACTGTTGTCATGTACCTGAGTATATGATGTCAGACTTAGCTCCTCTTGTGCTGTGTAACTATTCTATATAACAAAAATGATTGGATTCCTTGCTCTGGGTATGAAATTTTTATTACGGTTTCTGAAAGCATTGTGCATTTTTCTTTCTTTCCGACAGTATGGTCTCTTAAAAATGCCTTTAATTCAACCTTTTTCTCATTACATGTAATACATGTACAATGCAAAAAATAGGCTACTTATTTGAACTTCATGTTTTCTTCTTATTATCTGTTTTTAGCTTTGATATACTCATGTACTTCATATGTGCTGGAATACCACCTAAATCTCACCTTCCGTTATTTTTAATGCAGGTGAATTTATCACACACAGAATATCTGATACATATACCAGAGAGAGAGAGAGTTGCTTGAGACAGACACCCCCTCCCCCCCTTGATCAAGACCCCCTGACTTTTCCATTTTTTATCATAATTATCTTTCATTGACATAATTGTGATAAGATATATACCAACAATTCGAACAAATTATACCTAAAACAAACTTTATAAAATCTATCCCAATCTCTCTCTCTCTCTCTTGATTTTTGTATTTTTTTTTTAATAAAATGATTGTTTTAAGTAATGTATCAAATATGGTATAGATGATATTACATTGTAGAATAATGCCATTGAAAGATACTTTATGAGAAAAAGTATCTACGGTCCCGGGTCTATATAAGGGTGGGGGAGTGGGGTCCTGTACTCAAGTACCTGAGGAGAGAGAGAGAGAGATTTTACTTAAAATGTTCACTGCTTTTGATATGAATCACATAATTCATAATTTTATCTCCAAGTTGTTTATTTAACAATCAGGGGAGTGCTACTGCATATCTAAGTTTTGTGACTTTTCTGGTGTTTCCGACAAGCGGAAACAAGTGGGTTCTTTAATTCCTTTTTTTTTTTTTAGGATTTCCTAAAAATACATTAATATTAATTTTGATATTGAAGATTAAAATGCTGATCTTGTAAAAATGTAAGGTTTTCCATTTTAGATTATTTAAATTTGCCATTTTATAAGAACAATTATATTACGCTTATCAAAATGTTTTATGCACAGATTAAAAAGACAATAACATAAATTGTTTTTTAGGAGAAAATTATTTTTCTAATAAAACTATTATTAGGTATAATTAGGTATTTTCACTGTGTGTACTTGTCATAAGAAGATGCCCATCATTTGACACTTAAAGTTCTGAAATTTTGGTAATGATAAACTTGAAATAAAACATTTCACTAAAATTAGACAAAAGCTTAAAAATTCTCTAGAAAATATTTATGATATCAATACCTCCGTCTGGATATTTGACATCTAATTATAAGTGGTGCTGTAATGAAATCTTTTACTGGACTCTTTAAACTCAAAATCGTGGTTTGCAATGATGCATTTCCTGTAGATATAAATACATCGCTATTTTTGAAATCTGACTAAAAGCTAGACTTAATCTACATTGAATTCGTGCATGAAAACTGAAATTAATGATTTCGAACAATGTATAGTGTCCCGGAATTACCAGAGAAGTTCAGAGATATGAAAAAAAAACGTTCCAAATTATTCTTTTTAGGCTTTCCATGCAACCAGGAAACCTCTACAATTTATTTAGTTCGAAATCTGTTGCTTTTAGAAAACGATTTGTTTTACTGCATCTTTTATACTAGTATATAAATGTTGAAGTGTAAATCGGCAGCAGATAAATAAACAGTGATCGATCTTTAAAAAATGCATAAACTAGACAAATTTGTCAACAGGGCATAAACACGGATCCCATGTAATAAACACGTTAATTCCAGAGGCGGGATCAGGTGCCTAGGAGGAATAGGCGCCCCCTTTTGACTGGTCTCATCCGACGTGAGCACTAAGTATTAATAAGGTGGATGGAACATTCGTAGTCAAATTCACTATAGATATATATTTTAAAGGTCTAACGATTGTAAAAATGCCGTGCAGCCAAAATATAATTCGACCCAATGAGAGGTTTATAATATTTGCTTTTCAAAATCGTTATAACAACCAAAGAATTTGAGAAATGCCTTCTAGATTTCTCAAACGAATTAAAATATTAATTTTCTAAAAATGAATTATTTACTCAAAGTGTTCAGGCATTCCTTTTTATATATTGCTCAGCATAATCTTCCACAGAATTCATAATAGATATATATTATGAAGTTCCGTCGCCAGTTGAATGATTGAGACTCTCTTTATTTTGAAGGTAGATTTTCAATCATTTAGCTCGCTTCCACGAAGTCAAGATAAGCTTATATTATAATTAAGCCAGGCCCTCCAGCGTAGCAACAGTCAACATTGCTTGACGACGGGTGGTATTCCAAAAAATAGCGACTGCGCAGAAATTATGCGCGCACGGTTCACTGTTATATGTATTTGTATAAAACATTCAGAATAATATAATAAATATACATGTAGCATGTAGTTGAGTGTAACATTGAAAATTTTCACCCCTCAAAAATCATTGTCAACCTCGGCTGCGCCTCGGTTGACAATGGTTTTCTTGGGGTGAAATTTTCAATGTTACACTCAATTACATGCAATATTTATATAATATATACCAGACTCGATGGTATTTCTAAACCAAAGTCTAAATAATGCCTGTATTTCTTTGTAACCCCCCCCCCCCCGAAAAAAAATACGTAAAATATAAATATAAGAAATAACATTTTTTAAAGTATATTGCGATATGACATGAAGTCGGTGCGTGATCAAATATACTATAACGCCTTTCACACAAAGACTTTTCGGACAACTCGTAGTTCTACAGTACGGCGCCGCTGGGCGCCGTATTTAATAAACAACATTATCAATAAATATTTTGAAGATATGTCGTTTTAATGTTGATCTCTTTCTTATAATATTTATGTACATATTCACTACCCTGCAACATTTCACTAAAATTAGACAAAAGCTTAAAAATTCTCTAAAAAAATATTTATGATATCAATACCTCCGTCTGGATATTTGACATCTAATTATAAGTGGTGCTGTAATGAAATCTTTTACTGGACTCTTTAAACTCAAAATCGTGGTTTGCAATGATGCATTTCCTGTAGATATAAATACATCGCTATTTTTGAAATCTGACTAAAAGCTAGACTTAATCTACATTGAATTCGTGCATGAAAACTGAAATTAATGATTTCGAACAATGTATAGTGTCCCGGAATTACTAGAGAAGTTCAGAGATATGAAAAAAAAAGTTCCAAATTATTCTTTTTAGGCTTTCCATGCAACCAGGAAACCTCTACAATTTATTTAGTTCGAAATCTGTTGCTTTTAGAAAACGTTTTGTTTTACTGCATCTTTTATATATAAATGTTGAAGTGTAAATCGGCAGCAGATAAATAAACAGTGATCGATCTTTAAAAAATGCATAAACTAGACAAATTTGTCAACAGGGCATAAACACGGATCCCATGTAATAAACACGTTAATTCCAGAGGCGGGATCAGGTGCCTAGGAGGAATAGGCGCCCCCTTTTGACTGGTCTCATCCGACGTGAGCACTAAGTATTAATAAGGTGGATGGAACATTCGTAGTCAAATTCACTATAGATATATATTTTAAAGGTCTAACGATTGTAAAAATGCCGTGCAGCCAAAATATAATTCGACCCAATGAGAGGTTTATAATATTTGCTTTTCAAAATCGTTATAACAACCAAAGAATTTGAGAAATGCCTTCTAGATTTCTCAAATGAATTAAAATATTAATTTTCTAAAAATGAATTATTTACTCAAAGTGTTCAGGCATTCCTTTTTATATATTGCTCAGCATAATCTTCTACAGAATTCATAATAGATATATATTATGAAGTTCCGTCGCCAGTTGAATGATTGAGACTCTCTTTATTTTGAAGGTAGATTTTCAATCATTTAGCTCGCTTCCACGAAGTCAAGATAAGCTTATATTATAATTAAGCCACGCCCTCCAGCGTAGCAACAGTCAACATTGCTTGACGACGGGTGGTATTCCAAAAAATAGCGACTGCGCAGAATTTATGCGCGCACGGTTCACTGTTATCTGTATTTGTATAAAACATTCAGAATAATATAATAGATATACATGTAGCATGTAGTTGAGTGTAACATTGAAAATTTTCACCCCTCAAAAATCATTGTCAACCTCGGCTGCGCCTCGGTTGACAATGGTTTTCTTGGGGTGAAATTTTCAATGTTACACTCAATTACATGCAATATTTATATAATACATCCAAAGTCAGTTAAAGTGCCCCAAACAGTTTCAAAAAACGGCTGAAGATTTTCAACTCAGAAAACAAAGGAAATGTTTTGATTTTGATAGAACAATATTCGAATGATCAGAAAACACATATGATAGCTCTTGAAAGGGGGTATTATATTCTGCACACATATGGAACAAATACAATGTAATTTTAGCAGTGAATTACGTTATTTCTTAAGGTGTTATCAAAAAAATTAAATACATTATTATTGTAGATTCAAAATGGTGTTTCAAGTAGTTGTATTTGATAGAGTTATATATAACTATCCAATTAAAAACCGCAGTGTAATTGAAAATTTACCATATATTCAAAAATATTCCATATTTACACAGTTAATGTACGAAAAATTAATAATATGGATTTTGAGAAAATGACATCTTATTTTTTCTTTGTTTAAACTCGCATACTCAGATTAACAAAGAAGTTTGTATGTGTTTGCAGATGTATGTACCTTTTTTATAAAGACTCTCAAGTTTTTACATTTTGGAATTCAAAGTAAACGTTTATTTTGAGACAGGAGCAAACTGTCTTCTTTGTAACGTAATTCACATTCATCCTTAAAATGAAAACTAATGATTATTATTGGTTAAACAACACCATTTTTACAAATTAGAATACAGAAAATGATTATAAATATTGCAATATCTTTGCAATAGACATCATAATTATATATATCTAGATTGTTATCATTGTAAAACATCATATTTCACACACCTTGGTATTTTTCAGATGAAATCAAAAGCTGTATATTCTGAAAGTGCAGAATTACTACGGTACATGTACCTATTACAGATGATTTAAACATTATATC